GATCAAAACCATACAAGAGATGCCGCCACAAAGAATTTGCGAATTTTTAAAATCCTTACAAAGGAGACTCACATATATCCGAGTTTATTTCAAACCTCTCAAGAAGGTGCCAACTTTTCTCAAGGCTGATGAAGAAAGGAGTGCCCCACGAGTGGATCAAGCCCACCAAAATGCTTTCAGTAGCATCAACCTCCTAACTTCTCCTTTCAGCCACTTATACTATATGTTGCTGGTCTCGGAAGGTCGCTAGGAGCAGTACTGGCTCCGCACAATAAGGAATGCAAAGAAATCACATTAACTATCTAACCTGCCTGATGGTTGGGGCAGAATATAACTAGTAACTACTCACCCATCGAAAAGACATGCATGGCACTAATATTCGCAGTTCAAAAGTTACACCATTGCCTCCTCACACATCCCATGCAATTGGTTTCTAGGATAGACTCACCCGTTCTCTTAGGCCGTCTATCCAAATGGTTGGCTCCCTTTATGAAATTCAATATTAAATATGTCCCACAGAAAGCAAAAATGGGATAAGCGTTAGCCAATTTCTTAGCAGCAGATCCTTTACCAGATGGATCTCCTCTAAATGAGGATTTACCATATGAGGCTGTGTTAATGGTTAAACCTCTTGTCCTTAGGAAAAGTTGTATCGATGGAGCTTCTCAAAGCCAAAGGCCAAGAACAGGAGTTATTTTCATTCTCTTTCTCCCTAGAGAAGTTTTGCTACAATAATGATGCAGAATATGAAGCTCTTACCATTGCCTAGAAATGGCCATCGAGATGCAGGTTAATACCTTAGCCACACTTGGTGATTCCTAACTTGTTCTCAGACAGCTTTTGGGGACTTATGAAGTCAGAAAAGAGAATTAGTCACATACGTCGGAATGGCTAAAATCTTATTTCATTGTTTCATGAGATGAGAATCAATCACATTCCTTGACAATTCAGTGGACCGGTTGATGAATTAGCTAGATTGGCATCGCACTCCCATTAAATAAAGACATGCAAATTTTGGTCCAAGAGAGACATATTTTCCCTCAAGTATTGGAGTCACAACCAATAAAACCTTCCCTTTTGACTTTTATAAAGCCGAAGCATGAAGTCGAACCATGAGAATTCGGAGAAAACTTCTTATCCATTGTAAAGGTTCTTGTCCAACAATTCACTATCTCAATAAATTAATCAATTGTCTTTGTTTGGCATTGTCCATTATAAAGTTATATAAGATAAATTTACAGGCAGTTTTACATAAAGTTTTATCTTTTTGGAAAGACTTTTTTTACTTTACTCAAAATAATTTTCTGAAAATCACTTTTCTTATAGCCAGCTGTAGCTAAAAATAGCCGTAATTGCCAGAAAAAAATAAATAAGCAAATAATACAAGGTAAGTACCAAACAACTAGCAACGTAATACTATCAAGAGTAAATTAATTTCAAATAAGATAGTATGCTCCCAAAACAATTAATTGGCCTAAGCATGTAATGATGTGATGAAGCCAGATAAGCAATAGCTACACCTCCGCAATATGAGAGGCTTGACTTTGACTTTTATTTAGCAGTAGGATCTGCTAGAAACAACTCTCTAATGATTACCATGATTCAGCAACTCATGGATGTCTATAGTTAGCATCTCCACAATCTCCTTTTGGTAGCACCTGTATGTTTGGAAAACTTTTAGAGGAATATTTTGAGAGTGGACCGTAAGGAAAAGTATGGGATTCAGTATAAGGGAGGCCACTTCTTGTTATCACGAGAGAGCACATCATCAGAAAAACCAGGAAGATACACAAGAGACCTAGGATGAGAGGAAGCAGAACAACAAATTCAAATAGAACAGACTAAGGTCATCGCCACAAGATTACAAGTAACAAATTAATTCTCTATGTTATACTACAAGATTGCAAGTAACAAATTAAGTCTCTATGCTACCAGCTAGGTGTTAGTATTGGAAAATCCTACCCTTAGTTTCTATAGGATAGGGAGATCTCTGCATCTCCATTCATACTGCTTATCTTTGATAAAAAAAGTATGACATTCTTGAAATCAAAAGAAATACGAAAAGCCTAGTGAATTTCAAGGTAATGAGCAAGCCTAATAGTGTGCACAAATAACATGCCTTGTACAACATCTAAGTAGCAATCAAATCCTAAGGCTAAGATTTTGTTTGAGTTTACCTAAATCCAAGAAAAGTCAGAAGCATTCACTCTGGGCTCTCAGTGTCCTTGGCCTTAGATCCTCTAAAAACCTTGGGAGTATTTACATTTCTGAAAAAATTTCCTCCACCCATGTTTCGAAATGCCCGACACCTTCAACTTCCTACTATGGCCTCACACTAGGAGTATCTCCAACTCAAATCTGACAATGAAAGGCTGAAGCAGCCATTCAGCTTAGTCAAACACAACATTTGACTTGTTTACTAGAAATAACCAAAATTTGGTTGGATGGGTCTAGATCCACACGATCTAAACCCAACCAGCTAGGTCCAAGAGGCACGTCCAGACCTCGACCTGATTGACATGGGAGCAGGATCAAACCAACTCAATCAAAACCTTTCTTCATCTTTTCAACGATATCCTCCTTATTTGCTCAATCACTTTCAGCTTTTTCCATGTGAAACTTCATTGACTTATTAGATAGGCAAGCGGAGTGCTCTCTCCCCATTGGTCCTCGGTGATATTATTTAATATGAGATTGGTCCATTGATCGCTCTATTTTCAGCATGTAAGGACAGAAGCCAAAAAGTGATGCTGACATACTAGCCAATGAACGTGTCATGCAGGCATCTTATTGATAAAGGATTTTCTTTTCTAGATCATCTAGATGCTGCCTTTGAATATCTGTCATGCTTTCATTTATCCACTTTGGTTATTTAAAAAAAAAAAACCATTTCTGTTAGCAATCAAGGAAATAATTTTTGTAGCGTTCTCACTATCAGCTCTCCTTATACTCACCTCCATTCTATCCCTAGCATTTACCATTTAAGTTGATAAAGGAAATGAATTCTAGTTCATTCAATCCAAAAATAGATTCATCCTCAAATGCTTCCTCAAGTCCTATTTCCATCTTTACTTGCATTCCCTCCCAACCATTCTGATTTTCTATTGTAGCTCCTTTCTTCATAATCTAATGCCTTCAGCTTTTCAGCTCTCATTTATCAAAGCCTCAATAGTGTTACCATAAACCTTACATTGCGGATGCATGTTCCTTGTGTTTGTGTGTTACATGATTAATAAATGAAACTCATGTATGATGAAGATTGATTTCTTCTTAAACTGTATGGCATAAGATCAAGAAACCAAGGTCCTAAGTTTGGAAACCCTAATTTGACAAATTTGGAAGCATTCTACAGTTAAATCTGGTCAGATTTACAAATTCCAGGTCACTTGCATAAAGCAAGTACTTTTGAAATATCAAGTTCTTTCTTTTTTATTCTGTAGGTTTTAAGCTTTGAAGAATCAAGAACCAAAATATCATGTCCTTCATTAAGGATTTCAAGTGTGAGAACCCCCCAAATGCATAGGCACATGGCACCTCAAGTCAACCTGAAGCCTCAAGTCTAAGGGTGGCTTCATGCATTATGAGTTGCTTCTGTATATATATATGTACGTATGTATGTATGTATGGCATTTCATTGGAAAGAGTAGCATAAATCAAGTTCTACGAGCATGCAAAAAGAGAGATAGATACTAGATGCAGTAGAAAGAAATAGAAACTGAAGTGATAGAATCAGTAAACTTATTATCTATGGATGGCAAGATTCACCGTAAAAATTGGCATCTAATTTCTCAAGTTATTGGCTAAGAGATGGCACACTATTTATCCTCTCTAGCTGAATCCCAGATTTGCAGCAGTAAACACTTTTTGTTCCACTTCTGGTTATTCCATTGTCAGATGCTGAAAAGTTATTTTGGAGGCTCACTTGGTTTACCATGCTCTCTATCTTGAGGTTAAATATTTTTTGGCACTGAATCAGATAAATTAGCAGTGCTTACGGGCAGCAACATGAGTGTGAGGGCAATTGGTAGAGGATAAGGGAATCGGTGCTCAGGTTTGGGTTCATCAGCAGGGTTTTACCCTGTGTTTGAGGTTCACTTAGGGGAGAAAGTATGATCCTTAAGCAAAGGCCTTCAAAATTTTATACTTTCTTGTAGTAAAACACATTATTCATTATCAGAAAATGAAAAGGGTTACATGCCTGGACCATGCCAACAACTCGGATAGAAGACTTGTTAGGTACATTGCCCATGAGCCACCATATCCTCTAAGTAATCTACCTAGACGTATGGTGAGGTGTCCTAAACAAGCATGAGACCACATTAATATTCAATAGACTCTCTCTCGAGGCATGTAACTCCATTTTGCAGCTTGATTTTCCATTTAAAAAAGAGGGAAATTTGAATTGATTACATCTATGGTGTTCATGAACTTCATTTTAAGTCGTATCATATTGTAGAATTGTATTCCTTACTCCCATTCTTGGGTACCAATTGTTCAACAATTTTACGAATCAGAGTTTAAATTTGAAACATAGTTTTTTATGACAAAGCATTGATTCAGGTTTCATCTTGAAACTATGTTAGAACATGCATTTCCTCAGCATTCCTTGCCAAGTTGGTTCCGCCTCCGGTTCTATTTTGTAGTCGGAACCAAAACCTAGGAGGCAAGTAATGCTTGAAGTAATAATCTTTTCAGAAACTTTTATGATCCATTCACTAATTAAAATTTGATAAGGCTACTGATCCCAAAAATGAGTATCAGTAGTCTTCAGAGAGTACCAAAAAGCAAGATAGGAACAATAAGGGAAAGCTGAATTAGGCTACAAGATTGTTCAACCTACCACAAGTGAATCGTTTTCTTGTTAGAGAACCATAACTCACTTTTATAACGTACATTAACCAGAAATAAAGCAAAACATTTTCTCCCAAACTCCCGTGTAAAATAATACAACATCAATTCATAAAAACTAATCCAAAACTAGAAAGCTAAAGAGATGATACCTGATTGTGGGAGCATCCAAATGTCTTTATGTATATCGTCTGTCGATAAAATTCATCACCATAAGAAAGCATATAAAAAAGAAACAAACAAAATAAATAAACAAAAATATACAAATTAGAGTTTTCACCTGCGTTCCAGGTATGTTCAGTGAAGGGATGTCCTCCATTTTGCGAGATTGAAGCTTTTTGGGTTTCATTCCAACTGCTATCATAGGAAAGCGAAGACCAGGAGGAGCTCCACTGCCAATCACATCTTCAATATCTTCCATTTTTTCCAATCTTGATATGTCTATCACGAACCTTACGCAGAGAGCTTCCGAAGCCCTTTTTAAGAACCCAAGTTCTCCATGTTTCAAATGGGGGAGTTTCAAGCAAAAAGCATCCTGCGCCGCGGTGCCACCGTACTTCTGTAAGTCTCCATTATCAATTTAGGGAATGCATACAATGAGAACATGTATCATTTGTATAAGTATAATTACTCCTGCCCATGAGAATGGCACGGGCCAAAGCATTATTGCCCATTGATGAGGTCTCGGACTTCTTTCTCATAAAAGGGCTGGCCCCCCAAATACCTCTTACTACTTTGAAAGGGCTTGAGTTGTAGTGATAGCACGCTATACTCTAGTCATGTGGTTTTTATTCCCGACGCCAACATCACCCCACTAATACGTTCAAAAAGCTAACTCCCAATCTACTTGAATCTTTTCCGGTGAATTACCCAAAAAATAGTCATTACATGTCAAATTAGATGACTAATGTATATCACAAAAGATGACTTAATGTGTATCATAAAGCTCAAGTAGTTTTCAGTATCAATTTTAGAATGAGAAGTCTAGCATGAAACCATTTACCTTTGGTACAAGGTGAGACATTAATCTTGACCATTGGCAGTGAATTTGGGTGGCTGCAATCATTCTATTGACTAAGTTCAAACTTTAAAATAATTTTTCTTGAACTTTGTGACGCATCCAAGCTATCAAATTTCAAATCGGATGGTTGTAAGTAATTGTGACCACCTTGTATCAAAGGTAAATGGTCTCATTGTATACAATCCCTTTTAGAATTGTATAAGATGAGATTTATCATTGGTACAAGGTAATTACTCTTAGTCATTAGATGGCTTAATGTGTCACTTGTTATCGTATGGATATCTTGTTAGTATTGATGTACATCATTATGGATACATGTCAGTCTGGATATGTATGTATATGGGTATATATATCTCTTGATAAGGTTAGGTCTCAATAGGTATCTCAAGATTAATTAGTAATTATTTATAGTTGTTGGTATCTTTCCATAACTGTTATTAGCTTTATATTTATACGGGGTCTTGTATATTCTTGATTAATCAAATAATAAAAAGAGTTCTCTGCAGTATTTTGAGTTTCTAATATGGTATTAGAGCAATAGACTCATCAACCTCAAATATGGGCTCGTCGTCCTCAACCTCATATCTGAGGTCAGGAAATTTCATTACCCCCTACCTCTGTCATTGGCTCGGATTCATGCCCACCGTATTTTCACGATATCAGAGTTTCTCTCTCTTTATTCTCTCTAATTCGATCGACCCCTCAACCTCCTAATCTTCAGTAAATCAGTCCGTGGTTTTATCACCGTTTTTGAGTCATGGTCTGATCTTGCATGCATGGAACAACAATAAAAATGCTTTCAAGGAGCTGATTGCAGCGGAGTATGCTGGTGTGGAAGTCAAACTCATTGAGTCTTTTGAGGTGGGGGTTTCTAATAAATTCCTGAATTTCTTAAGATGAACCCAATGGGCAAGGTTCCCGTGTTGGAAACACCTGAAGGTCCCATATTCGAGAGCAATGATATTTCATGTTTTGTTGCTCGTTTGAAGGGAGATAACATTCTCTATGGCACTTCACCATTTGAATATGCCTGCATAGAGCAATGGATTGATTTTACGATTTTGCATCTCTTGAGAATGATGCTCACATTAGTCGGTGGTTCTACCCTAGATTGGGTTTCATGGTCTACCTTCCCCCGGTCAAGGAAGCTGCCATTACTGCTCTTAAGAGGGCATAAAATATGGAGAAACTCCATCATCATCTGACAAAATGAAATTACGAGACTCGCCCTTTGCACAAAAACTTCTGCTCTCCTTGAATCAATCAACACTATCAATTTAACAAAATCTTCAGCTCTCCACTTCGTTTACGGTTGAATTAATCAATACTCTCAGTTTAGTGAGAGAAGCTCATAGACCAAGGAAGCACTGTCAAAGGCCTCCGAGTTGTGTTTCAACTCTTTGTCGAGTCAGTTTTGACTATCTGTCGAGTCAATTTCGATTCTCTACCTAGTCTTTTTTCGACTGAGTTCTGTTGGCTCTTCCAAGTGTTATTATGTGCATGTTGTTCAAGCAGTCTATGCACATCAAGACTTCAAGATCCAACTAGTTCGTTTATGCAACTTATTGTTCAAACTAAAGCTGCTTTGTGAACATCTTGAGTTTGAAGGGGAGTGTTAGCGTATGGATATATTGTTAGTATCGATATACATCATTATGGATACATATCAGTATAGATATGTATGTATATGGATATATATATATATCTTGATAAGGTTAGGTGTCAATAGGTATCTCAAGATTAGTTAGTAATTATCCATAGTTGTTGGTATCTATCCAGAACTGTTATTAGCAGTATATTTATATGGGGTCTTGTATATTCTTGATGAGCAATTAATAAAGAGAGTTCTCTGCAATATTTTGAGTTTCTAATATCACTAAGCTCAAGAATTTTTTATTTGAACTTTTAATCAAGTCAGTAACACTTTTACAACCACCAAATTTGAAATTTGATGGGCACAAGTGATTGTGACCTCCTTGTGTCAAAAGTAAATGATATCTTTATATAGTATTCCATCAATTTATCACATTAGGAGTCACTGATCTCGCATGAGCTGGGACCTCTGTCAAACGGTCTGATGTTTTGTTGGAACCCAATACTTACCTATGAGAAATGGGGTGGGTTGAGGTCGACCCAATTGGGTCTACGTCTAGACTCTATAGGCATGGACAATGGACTCAATAGCTTCGGTCTGGGTCCACTTGACCTTGACATGAGCCTCGTAGTTTGGTCCAGCTTGGATCCTATTAGGCCAACTCAACTGGTATATATCATTACAAAATGCATATAAACAACATTAATTATATATTTAAAATAATTCTTTGTATAATTGTCATTTAAAGACTCTAACTCAGACTGGTGGGTCGAGTCTTCTTCCAAGTGTCTTGGACCAATACAACCCATTGCCACTCTTTAACATTTGAGTTTTCTATTTCTTTTTCTTTTTTGTAGCTGCATTATAGGGGACCGAGTCACTCGACCAAGTTGACCCAGACCAAAAACGTTAGGGTCTAGGCTACAAAATGTGGCCCGAGGGGGCTAAGGTTGTGCCACTAAGCCCTGAGGGTCGGGCCAGGGCAGGGCCACAAATGGTAGGCCGGCCCAACCCTCCTTTTTTTCTTTATTTTCCCTGATTTCTCTGTTTGTTTATCTAGCTTGAGCGAGTCCTGATCAGGATTGGGCTAGGGCCTCTCTGGCTTGGTCAAGGCCGGGCCGAGCCAAGGTAGGTCTTATGGCAGCTGGGGCTGGGCTAGGGTGAAGTTGAAGCCAGCCCATTGCCAGCTCTACTACCTTGGGACCACAACAATTAGGTCCTGTTGATGGATGAAGCAACATTGGAAAGAATGAATTAGGCCAAGTACTCAGCCCAAGTCTAAGTAACACGGCCCGAGTTGGGCCAAAAATAGAAAAAATATGTTTAAAGTAAAATTACACAAAATGCATCTAAATGAGGTTAAAAAAGTAGTAAAAAAATGAATTTTGAAAAACTCATTTTGTGATGGGGGTATTTTAGAACTAATCCACAAAGAAGGGAAAATATAGAAATAAGTATTTGTGACCAAAACACTTTCCAATATGTGCCAAAACTATAGAAAAACATACAAAAAAACATATTACAAATAAATTTCTTATTTTTAAAATTTTTGCATTTTTTATTTTTTTTTGGGGTCCCTGAGTTGGATCACTAAACTCAGGATACCCGGGTTCTCTCGAGTCCTCGTTAATCAGGCCTAGGCATTTTCTTAAAATGGAGGGGAAATGGTAGCCTCTGTGCTTTATCTATCATACAACTTGGGGTCGGAATGGTGCATTATTCATAATACCAGAATCGATGTGCTCCACAAGTGATTTGAAATATTTTAAAATAAATTAGAAGGTTTCTAATGAGGGTGTGTTTTACCTAAGGTTTAAACCTTAAACAATCAAAGTAAGGTGCAGCATCAAAATTTATCATAAGGTATAATTTTGGCGTAAAAAGAATCTATTTTCATCTATAATTATAAAATTTTAGACTAAAAAAATGGTTCAAATCAAGTAGATCTATAAACACATGAAAATATTGAAAATGGATGGTCCAGATAATGTATTGCAAGATGTACTATTTTTAGGACTCGATATCTTTTTCTTCTTCTTTTTTTCATATTCATCTATCTCGATGTAGAAAATCATCTGTTAGCGGGTTTTCTAACTTCAAAATAGTCTTTACGATGGATTTTATAGGTGTATCTTAATTCTATATTGTAAGATTACAACCTTATATAATTTTTTTAATAAATTATAATTTTGCAAATTAATTTTAAGTAACATAAAATTTAGAATAATTGAATTCGTTATGTTTGTGGTGCTGATTTATGGTGTTACCAACTCAATTTGTGTGATGAGTTTATGTGTCAACCATAATTGGCTCTAGAGATACCCAAGGGAAGGTAATAGCATGTTTTTTTTACCATAAGAATATGTAAGAACAACCTATGTAACTTATACTGAGTCATAACACATATAGCTTAGTAACTTTATAATTTGACTGATTAGTTGATATTATACTGATATATAAATAATAATTGACTAATATTCAAACTTGACATTCAATTGATAAGAGTATTAAGTAAATTGCTGCTTAGAACAGTTCAACATGTCATTTTTGTGGTGGGCACTATGTTGTGTTACTCACACAACTTGTGTTATTATTTTCAAGAAGCGTTAATCTTAACTAAACTATTGCTTCGAGCAGTGCAAAGCGTCATTTTTGTGGTGCCACTATGTTCTGTTGCTTACTCAACTTGTGTGAAATTCATTTTAAAGAAATTACCAATTAGATTTTTTAATAATTATAAATTGGAAATTCTTTATTACGATCTTGCTAGATTATATTGTAGGTTTGTTTTTAATTAATCTTGTAATCGCACAATGTGTCATCTTTATGTTGGGACTATGTTGTGTCACCTGCTTAACTTATGTAAAATTTATTTCAAAGAAGTCAACATTAATGTAGAATTTATTTAAAATGAATTATATTATTTCATTACATATTTGAAAGGGGCGTATGCATTACAAACGAACACGGGGCTTAATGCTTTAATAATGTAAAGAAAAAATAGAAATTTTTTTTATTGTGGTCTTGCTAGATTATATTGTAGGTTTATCAGTAATTACTATTATGTTTTAAAGTTAACTATATTTATTAATCAA